ACTTTAAAAGAGATTTTACAAAAGAACAGAGACAAACACTGCTTCTTGGTAGCAGTACTTTCTCTGGTGTGATGTTTGCTAGAGACATGCAGAGGCTCACAGCTCTTTTAAGAGGCCCTGATACTAAACAGATAAATGGTGTATATGAGCAGCTGGCACCAGCAGTGACTACATCTCCAAGCCACACAGCATATTGCATGGCAGATAAGCTTTTATTCATATAGACAAAAAATGGTTTACGAGTCAAGGTAGTGAGCACAACTCCCAGTTCTGGGGGTAAACCCCACCATGTTGGAAAGCCAGCAGCCAAAATGTCCTCCTTAATCTTCACAATGTTGTTTAGCTGATAAGATTTGTGGCCAAAAAAATAGAGGTATGCAGTAAAGATAGATTCAGATGAAGAAAAACCTTCAAAGCGTTTACAATGTGTTTAAAAATATATGTAGGCTTGAAAGAGAAAGAAAAAAGGATAAAGTGATTAAAAAAGAAATAGAGTAGCTGGATCTGGTGGCACAAACCTTTAATCCCAGTACTTGGGAGGCAGAGTCAAGCAGATCTCTGTGATTTCAAAGCCAGCCTGGACTACAGAGTGATTTGCAAGACAGACAAAAATACAGGGAGAAACCCTTTTTCTTTTTCTTTTCCACAAGAGGCACACATCCTTGCTTTATTCATAAAATAATAACCAACACTGAGAATTAGGGGCAGATGTACAAAAGAATGAAAAAAAGAAAAAGAAAAAAATTGCAGTCATGAACAGTTGTGACCAACATGGCAGTGAGTGGTGGCAGGTTGGCCAGAGTATGGCCAGTCTCTTGACCTACTTGGTGGAGGGGAAGTGCCCTCTACAGCTTGACAGTCAAGTTTATTGGTCATACTTGATCTTCCTTGAAATCCAGGGTCATATTGATTAAAAATAACATTGTCTTGGCTGAGTGAATGTTCTTGACATGTTTAGCAAGATTAACAGTCTGATGGCAGGAAAGTGAGGAGCATCATGTATGTCCTTATCCTGGTGGGTGCAAGTAAGGCAAATTATAGAACACACCCACAAGATGGACCCTCCTTGCACCAATGAAGAATGGCTGGCTAGCTCAGTACTCAGAAGCAGAGCTGGAGGTAAGACCTCAGGAGCAAGACCACACATGCAGCAGCATCTTTTGGTTTCACAGCCACATACAAGTTAGTTTAGTACAGAAAAGCATTTGAGGGCAGTCTTTTACTGACCTAGAACACAGGTTGGAGAAGCTTCCTTAGGTGTTGCTATTTAGACCCTAAGACTTCGCTGTACTACACCTGCTTTCTCAACAACAGAGGCCCAATTAATATAAGTATGTCAGGTATAGGATATACTGGCATGTAACAAGAATAACAAAGACAGAGAACCTAGCGTCTGGTAGTTTCCTTGAGTGAAAACAGCTGAAATTTCAGCTGAAGTCAGTCTCAACTGTTGTCACAGGAGGGAAATGAGGAATTGGCAGTGAGGTAGTAACATCCTCACAAAAGGACAGAAAAACCTTCATTCTCTAGAAACTAAAAACAGACTGCTGTCCCATTCTTGTCTGCCAGCCACTCAAGTCATACCTACCCTAGTCATGTAACTCAAGAGAATTTGAAAAGGAAAATGGCTGCCCAGCTTCAGTATTTGCCAATATTCAGTTTCTGAAGACAGGGAGAACTTGCCAACGTCTAGGAACAGAGCCAGAGGATGACCTGGATATTATGCTTGGCCATAAGAAAGAAGAAAAAGAAGAATGTCAAATTCCCAGATGAAGATGAAATACTAGAAAAAGATGAAGCTTTAAAAGACAAAGACAGAAAAAAAGACAATGGCATTTCATTCAGTAACCAGACTGGGCCTGCTTGGGTAGGCTCAGAAAGAGACTACACATATGAGGAGCTGCTGATCCGAGTGTTCAACATCATGATAGAAAAGAATCTGGACATGGTTGCTGGAGAGAAGAGGAAATTTTATGAAACCTCTACTGGTTGTAGAGTAGGAACCAAGAAAACTTCTTTTGTCAATTTTACAGATAGCTGTAAACTATTACATTGTCAATCCAAACATCTCACATTTTTATTGGCAGAATTGGGTACAAGTGGTTCTATAGATAGTAATAACCAACTTGTAATCAAAGGGAGATTCCAAAAGAAACAGATAGAAAATGTCTTGAGAAAACCTTTTCAAAAAACAAAAACGAAAGTAAAAGAAATAGAGTAATAAAAAAGCCAGGGAAAGATAGAAAATACACAGAAAGGCTGGATACTGAAAGGTATTATGTTGCCTTTGAATTGTTTAATTGCTGAGGAAGAAGCAACAACTACTAGCTGACATTTGATTATAAATGTTGCTGGATTAATCCAACTTATATATTTTGAAAATGCTTTGACCTCAAAATTTAAGTCTAAGGATGACGTGCTTTGGAAAAGAGGTTCTGTTTTTGTTGCCACAGAAAATGAAAAGCTGTGGATTTAATAATGGTTTCATCAAACAAGACCCCCTGAAACAGTGGCCCAGGTAATACAACATCCAAAACTGCTGAGATGATACAGCCTCAGACTACTGCAGAGAGGATTTGGACAGGTTTCTGGGTTTTCTCAGGATCCCTATGGTACTGACAGGACCTCCAAACATCAAGAAGTGGTTTCCAGAGAACGAGTCCCAAATTCTCAAATATTGTTTATACATTTTGTTTTATCAATAAAATGGGGCTGGTTATAAATGGTTAATAATCACAGCAAATCTCTTTCTAAAAATATGGAATATGATATAGAAATGAATACTCTGAATTGGTATAGAATTTGATATATTGATACAAATTTAAGGTCAATTGTGTTATATGTATATTACGCCTCTTGTTTAGGTATTATGTTTATACACATCATTTAAAATGTAATGTATAATTAAATGCACATTATATATAGTCACCTATAATAGTCAAAACTTAGAGTTATTGTAGTTATGTTTGCTAGATATACAGAGATATATTTGAGATGGGTAGACAGACTTCAAACTTTTCAAAGACCTTCAGAATATAGCATTTAAAATGGTTTAGGGTTTTTCAAGACAGTGAGACACAAGTGTTCCAGCCAACACCAATTACTTCAGAGAGGAAGATGGGCATCAAAGAAACTCATTGTGGAGTTTGCCTTATACATGGCAAGACTAGCCATTTGGACAAGAAACCGCTCTTGTCTGGAATGTTTGACTGTATGATGTCCAAACTGGATATGCAGGACCCACAGGAAAGTGGCTGCTCAATTTGCCAAAACAAGATGGGACAGTCTTGCAGGGTTCCTGCTTCATGGAAGAGTTTGCCAGACATTCTGTAAGTCACAGAAAAATGACTGACAAACTACCAATACAGGTCGACAGATAAATTCCCTGCTTCACTGAGAAGTGTGCCAGATACACTATAGCCAGCCTATGGGTAGAAGATGGATGCTCCTACATTACCAAGGAACTTTGGGTGTCCTGGCAACAAGATATATAAATACTGGAAGTGGCATATACATTATCCTTCTGAGGTCTTTGATGGAGTTGAAGACAGATAGTTATGGTTTTCATTAGTTATAATAAAAATAAGTTACATATAAAAGTTTAGATAGATAGAATATTTTGTTGTTATTTTGCAAAATATGAATGTACTAAATATTGTTAACTATAGTTCTTACTTGGTGACTGTTTTGTTATATATAATATTACTATGTTAAAGTTAAAACTCTTCCTTTTATTTAGATAGAAAAGAGAGATGATGGGAATGTCCTTCTGTATATATGTTTCTCTTACTGGTTGATGAACAAAACACTGTTTGGCCAAAAGAAACAGGAAGACAGGCAGGATTGGGAGATAAGGAGAATTCTGGGAAAGGTAGGCAGAAAGATTGAGAGGAGACACCATGGAGAGACTAGGAGGATAGGACATGCCAGGTGTTCTCTGGTAAGATAAGGCCATGTAGAAATACATAGATTAGTAGTTATGATTTAATAATTAGGACAGATTTAGCCACTAAGAAGCCCTAGCCATCGGCCAACAATTTTATAATTAACATAAGTCTCTGTGTGTTTATTTGGGGCTAAAGGGTGGCGGGACTTGGTGGGACAAGAAAACTCCAGCTATATAAATGCAAAAATACCTAAACTTATCATGTTTTAATTAAATTTACATTTCATGTCATGATTCAGTCATAGCTAACTTTGGCTGCATGAGGACTACAGACTACAGATTAGACACAGTGCTGAAAGACAAGCAGATAGAAAGTGTCTTGTTCAGTTTTGGGAAGAGAAAGGAAAGCAATGCCACTGAGTATAAAAGAATGGGTGAGGTTGTGACAAGATATTAGGGGAGTAAATTTGATAGTGGGACTAGAAGAAGCAAAAGACTACATGATTGGAGAGAAGCCACCTATTAGGTAGGTGTCCTCTAATATATAAAAGTAATTAAAGGTTGAAATCTTCCTAATGCAGTATTTATTCAACATATTCTTCTTGGGGTATCACCATATATTCCTACATTAGAAATTCCTTACCCTAATACTTAGGATTATAACATTTTTGTCTCTGAAGAAACATGCCAGCAAGGGCTAGTGATTGATTGGTGGCATTAGATCAGTAGATAACAGTGCATAGAGTTAAGGCAAGGTCTGTCAGACTCTGAGGTCAACATTCACCTCAGTGAACAAGAGAATGATTACGTACCATTCTGCCACAGATCATGTTCAGATACATGCTGAGGTCAGTGAACTCAGCTTTGAAAGATTTCCTTAGTGGCTAGAATTGCCCAGATTAAAGTAGATTTTGTAATAGATAATCAGTTTTGCTAATATGTGGCTTAGTGATAAACTCAGATAAGCACAGTTACAACGTGAACATTTCCTACTAGAAGGTGAGGTCCTTGATCTTGCTTCAGTCCTATTAATTACACCCAACCAAGGATTCCAGCTGCAGCAGAAGGGAGGAAGGAAAACTCTTCTCCTTTGCTCCCTATTTCCTTTCCATACCTTGAGCTCATCAGCATTGTAGAAGTCCACACGCACTGCAGGTACCATCCACGTCTGGAATAGTGTTGCCAGGATCTGCTCTGCAATAGAATCAGCGATAAGGTGGAAATGCAGAGGGTTCCGCCTGTGAAGGGGAAAGCAGGATGCCAAAAGATCATTAGAGGCCTTGGATCTAGTTGTAAAATCACCCCTTTCCCAGAAGATAATGTGGGACAGTTTTGTCAAAAGCCACTATGGAACTAAATCATGCAAGTTGATGCTCTTTGTTGAGGATATTAGAGCTGCAAAGGAGAGAGGACATCTCCCCAACCTCCACATTTCAGAGTGTAGAAAACCAAGCACCATAGAAGGCAAGACCCAATTCTCATATCTGTTGTAAATAAATCTGGGTTCTAAGAAACTGATGAAGGGCATATTTAAAAATTGCATCAATCTTTACATCTGCAAACTTGACATACCAGCATTAATGCAGAAACCCAATGATAGCAGCAGTCCATGTGTTAGATGGTGTAGGCAGCTGACAACATATTTCTCCATTGACTCAAAGATAAGTTGTGTTTTTTACTTGTTCTTTTCTGAAACAAAGCTATACTTTCATGGTGGAATCATCTGGAGCTTTGCTGAGGATACTGGCATGCTTCTTTTGTAGTGTATCCAAACCTTGCAGTTACTCAACTGTTTACAGTGACCAGCCCTTACTAGATAGTTCATGACAGCATGACTCAAGGACAAAGATTCTTGGGGATTAGTTTGTTCGAAAATGAAATGTCCCCACAATAACTTAATGTGACTGAATACTTGATCCCTAGCTGGTGGCAATGTTTGGGTCTAGTTTTTGATGGCAATGATTAGGGGCTAAAGTTTTGCTGAAGTAAGTTTTTTTTATAGCTTAAACTCACTTTCTGACCATGTTTTGCTTCCTGAGTGCAGAGATGAACAGCTGGCTTTGTGCTTCTGCCTTCCCCTTTATTATGAAATGCATCCCCTTAAAGTTTTATGACAATTACCAGCCAACTATTTATTTCTTATGTTGACTTTGTTGAGGGTATTTTCTTACAGCAATGAGACAAGTAAAAAGTACCAAAAAACTGGTACCAGAGAGGGGGTTATAATGTATTCTTTTAAACATAAGCCAGAATAAACCCTTTCTTAAATTGCTCTACTCAAATCTTTTGTTGCAACATGAAAAGTAATCAATACAAGGAAAAATGGAAATAAGTTCTAAATCCAGTTCTGACTCATCCTGCAGCATTTCCTTCTTGAGCCTGATAAATGATGAACCTGCCTGCCTCCATCTTAGGCTTAAAAGCCATCTTATAGTAAAACCACAATAGGTTCATTCCTGTTATGCTTAAACCTCTGTTTCTTGTGGAATGGGCTATAACACACCTGTAACCTTAACTAAGAATGGTTCTGTACAGCCTATTCCAGGAAACAGCAAGGATGCCTTTGTTTAAAAAGATTATTATGACTGTCTATGACTACCTGGCAATGACTACCTATTGCTATAACTACATTGTTATGCTTATATTCTGCTACTCTAACTGCCTATTTTGCCTGCCAAGTCCTCCATTAGGAAACCTCATATCACTGAGCTACAAAAAGCTTGTCTTCATCATCTCCAATGCTGATCTCTTGAACCTTTAGGAAGAGACAGTCTGTGTACACAAATAAAAACATTGCTTTAATTAACTGCTTGCTGTAATTAATTTGACCATGATATTTGGGTCAGTGGTCTTTCTCCTTTTATCTCTGGAATTAACAATAAATACCATTTACCCACCCTCTCTAGCAATAAGTAGAATCCTGTCCATCTCATACAATCCATGTCTTTAACACCCAGTCAATGATAAATCTTCAGAGGTCATGCTATCTAGGTGTTACAAGATGGATCTCAGGATATAAGTCTACTGGATCTGACTTATGTTGGTTTGGTAAAATACTAATGGTGAACTTTGGAAAGTTTCATCTCTAAGTGCCAGCTTTAAAATTTCTAAAATGGGCTTGACTAATAATGGAATTGCTGGATCTTGTGGTAGGCTGATTCCCATTTTTCTGAGCAACCGCCATACTGATTTCCAAAGTGGCTGTACTAGTTGGCACTCCCACCAGCAGTGGAGAAGTGTGCCCCTTTCTCCACATCCTCTCCAGCCTGAACTGTCATTGGTGTTTGTGAGTTTGGCCATTCTTACAGGAGTAAGATGGTATCTCAGAGTTGTTTTGATTTGCAATTCCCTGATGGCTTAAGATGTTGAACACTTTCTTATGTGTCTTTCAGACATTTTAGATTCCTCTATTGAGAATTGTCTATTTAGTTCTGTATCCCACTTTTTAATTGGATTGTTTGTTGTTTTGGAGTCCAGCTTCTTGAGTTCTTTGTATATTTTGCAGATGAGCCCTCTGTCATATGTGGGGTTGGTGAATATCTTTCCCCAGTCTATGGGCTGCCATTTTGTCTTGCTGACTGTGTCCTTTGCCTTATGGAAGCTTCTCAGTTTCAGAAGGTCCCATTTATCAATTGTTGACTTCAGTGTCTGTGCTACTGGTGTAATGTTCAGGAAGCAGTTTCCTTTAACCAATTCACACAAGGGTATTTCCCAATTTGTTCCAATAGGTTAAGTGTAGGTGGATTTATATTGACGTCTTTGATCCATTTTGACTTAAGTTTTGTACAAGGGGATAGGCTTGGGTCTATCTGAAGATTTATACATGTCTGCAACCAGTTATTCCAGCACCATTTGTTGTAGATGTTCTCTTTGTTCCAGTGTATAAATTTGGATTGTTTGTCAAAAATGAGGTGTTCATAAGGGTGTGGGTTAATATCAGGGTTGTCAACTCTATTCCATTGGTCTGCCTGTCTATTTTTGTGCTAATACCAAGCTGTTTTCAGGACTATAACTCTGTAATAGAGCTGGAAGTCAGGGGCGGTAATGTTTCCAGAAGTTCATTTATTGTAACAGGGTTGTTTTGGCTATCCTGGGTCTTTTGTTTCTCTAAATAAAGTTGAGAATTGTTCTTTCAGAGTCTGTGAAGAATTGTGTTGGGATTTTGATGGGGATTGCACTGAATCTGTAGATTGCTTCTGGCAAGATTGCCATTTTACTATGTTGATCCTACCTATCTAAGAACATGGGAGATCTTTCCATTTTCTGGTATCTTCTGTAATTTCTTTCTTTAGAGACTCATAATTATTATGGTACATGTCTTTCACTTTTTTGGTCAGTGTTACCTTGGGGTATTTTATGTTGCTTGTGGCAATTGTAAAGGGTGATGTTTCTCTAATTTCTTTCTCCACCAATTTGCCATAAGTATATAGTAGGGCTACAGATTTTTTGAGTTAATCTTGTATCCTGCTACTTTGCTGAAGGTTTTATCAGCTTTACGTGTTCCCTGGTAGAGTTTTTCAGGTCACTAATGTAGACTATCATATCACCTGCAAATAGTGAGAGTTTGACTTCTTCCTTTCTGATTTGTATTCCCTTGATCTCCTTTTGTTGTCTTATTCCTCTTGTTAGATCTTAAAGGAAAATATTGAAGAGGTATGGAGAGAGTGGACATCCTTGTCTTGTCCCCCATTTTAGAGTAATTACATTGAGTTTCTGTCCATTTAAGTTGATGTTGGCTGTTGGCTTGCTGTATATTGCTTTTATTATATTGAGGTATGTTCCTGTTATCCCTGATTTCTCCAAGACCTTTTTCATGAAGGGTGTTGGATTTTGTCAAAGGCTTTTTTGGCATCCAGGTAGATGATCATGTGTTTTTTTTTTTTTTTTTTTTCATCAGTCTGTTTATATGGTGGAATACATTGATGGATTTTTGTAAGTTGAAAACCAAACGTTTATTTACACCAAAGAATTCCAACACTGGCTCTTTCACATATGAGTGACAAAGTATTATACACACAAACACACACACACACACACACACACACACACACACACACACACACACACACTGCAAGGGATGGCACGGCCATAACAAGAGAACTCGTAGTTTCCCACAATTACAGGTCTACCATTTCTGGTTCACTGCAGACAATGGCTCGGCTCCTGCCTCTCAGACACAATTACAACTCTGAGAGCAGGTTTCCTCACTAGATGGCATATAAAGAAAGGGGAAGGTAGGACAAGAAAAAAGTACAAAGCTTAACATGAACTTATATGGACAGTATTTCTTTTTTTAAAAAGCAATAAATTATTCCCAGTGACTAACTGACTTCAAAATGGCCATGTCAAAGAAAACTGAAAAAGACTTAGCCTCCCCTTCCCTACCAGGTCTAAAGCACAGTATGAAAAGGGAAATAACAATGCAGGAGTCTAACAGGGAAAGTATCAACTAAACTACCAGTTTAGACTAAACTACCAGTTAAACTAAACAACAGTTTAGATTTCAACTAAACTGAAATTAAAATGATTTAGGGTTAGGTCAGTAAGACATGATTCATTTAGAAAAGCTTGAGGATCTGTCTGCAAGTCGGGTAGACTTTTTACATCTTGATGTAACTAAGACAGATCCACTGCCACTAGAGCCAGAATAACTCATGGACACAATCCTGAAGAAAGGTGATAAAGTGACCAGCAGAACAGTGTTGAGCATGGACTGGATCCTCCCTACCTTTCTTCTTCCCACCTCCCTTGATAAGCTACATTTTATAAGATCCAATCCCCAAGAGTGTGGTAATGTGGGGAGAGCAATGTGGAGAGGGGAAGAGACCCCCTAAACACGGCAGCTGAGACTGAGGCTAGTTTATCTTTGATCTTTAGTGGTGATGAACTGAATTTGGAAGGGGAGAAAAATTTTGTTCATGAAATATTCCACCTGCAGGTAATTTTTCAGGGAATCCCTTGAGTGATGGAAAGTTCAAGTTCAAAAAAAAAAAAAAAAAAGGAAAAGAAAATCAGCCTATTATAATTTTTTTTGACTCAACTACTAAATCCAAATGCAAGAGTTCAGACACAATGCTTCTGAAGTGTTCTCACCCATCCCAACCAGGCACAAGCTCCATCAAGGAGAGGATGGACTTCCTCACCTCTGCTTAGGCATCAGGAGATGGATGGGGGTCATTACTGTTGGGCGCCAGCAGCAGGTGGAACAGGCATCCCAACAGCAACAATCACTGGTGAG